AAAAGGAAGAAAAATATTTGCACAACTTATAAAAGTATTATTATAAAACATGAAGAAATCGATTGCTCCGAGTCGAAGACTCGGAGTGATCGATTTCTTCATGTTTTCTAAAAAATTATTTTTTATGAAAATAATAATTGAATTCCTTAAAAAAAATTTATTATTTATGAAAATAATTGAAATTCTGCGATGAGTTTTATTATTTATGAAAATAATTAAATGTTTGCATACAATTTTATTAAAAAATTTTTTAAATAATTGAATTCTTTTAGAGAAATTTTATTAAAATAGTAGATATTAAAAATAATTGAAATTTGAAAAATTTTTGAAAATAATTGAAATTAGGACAAGAATTTTTTTGACATTTATGAAAATAATAATTGAATTTTGGAGAAGAATTTTGTTATTTATAAAGATAATTGGGATTTTCACCAGAATTGTTTTCAAATTTTGAACGTAGTTGAATTTTATAAGAAGAATTTTCTTTTTTTTTTTTTTGAAAATAATTGAATTTCCGCAATTATTTGTAATTTCTCCAAAATTGAATTTTTTTTAGTGATTTCAACAAAAATGTAAATTCGAAAATTTTTAAATTTTCCTATTTTTTAAATTGTTAATTTTATTTAAAAAAAGGCAGGAAGAATTGTTGCTAGTAAATAATTAAAATTAAATTGAAATTAAAATAAAAAAAATTACTGATTAATAAATTAAATTTAATATTCCTTTATATGCATGAAAAATATTTTCTTTAAAAAAACACAAATATCTTTTCATTATATTAGACAATGAAATTATTTCCAGCCAAGTAAACAATAATAAAAACAAAATTTGCATAAACAAACTTATTACACACGCAATATTCTATGTCTTTCTAAATTAATAATTCAAATGAAATTTCATTATTTGCTAGTTGGGGGAAAAAATCCTCTTAAAGTGACTGGGGTAAAAGAAATGTTTTGTTTTATTTTCGTCACACAGCATGTTACACTCTTTAATTTATTACGCAATTCTACAAAAGAAAACAAAATTAAAATAAATTTAATCCCAGCAGAGAAGAAATCTTTTTCCCCGCGTACACAAAAATGTATTTACCTCCTTTTTTGTTAAATATTTGCTTGGAAAAAAAGCAATGAAAAACTATATAACGAATATTAAAAAAAAAGAATAATACAATTTTTTTATTTTATTTTTTTTTTTGCAAAAATTTTTTTTCTTTATAAAATAACAGAAGTAAAAGGGAAAAATATAATAGAAAAAAAGTAACAAAAGCTTTAAATTCGAGTTGAAAAACATTTTTTTAAAAGTATTTGTATCTTTTTTTTGCCATTAGAGAAAACTTTTAATAGCCAGACATTTTTTATAATAACTGTTAGAAAATGATTTTATTTTCTTGCTTTTTGTTTAATGGAAAATATTCTTTAAAACCTTGAATAAAGAGGATATATTTTGTTTTCCTTTTTTATAAAAAAATAGAACTGGTCACTAAAATTTTTAAGAGCTCGCAGGGTTAGATTTAAAACTCTAAGTGGGCAGTAAATTTAAGCCGTGCATTAAAAAAATTAAATTTTGATAAACTGTGCGCGCAGTTTTGCGTTTATTTTTCTACAAAAAAAAAAATCTCCGACAAGAAAAGGGAGTTTTCCCCTTTAAGATCATCTTTAATTTCCGAAAGAGGCATATGTAGAATGAACGTGAAACAAAAATCGATTGAGAAAATTCAAACATAGAAATAGATGTTTACACCAACATTACCACTACCTATTTATGAATTCATTTCTGTGTGACTGAAAGCGTCTCACACACAAACAACGGTACACAGATTTTCTGTACTAAAAAAATTTTAATTCAATTCAACTTTTTAAAATTAAATTAAATTTTTAAAACTAAATTTTCTATTTTTATACTATTTTTTATTTCAACTAATTTTTATTTTGATCAAAAAAATATTTATTTAAATCAAATTAATTATAATGATTTGAACCAAAAAAATCTTAATTGGATCGAGTGAATAATTAATTTGAATCTAATAAATTAATTTATTTAACTTTCAACACAAATAATTATGTGAGAAATAATTAATTATTTGAAACTAAACATTTAAATGTTTTACTCAAATATTTCAGTTTTGTGATACAAAATAATAATAACTTGGCATAATTAATTTATTTTATGAATTAAAGTAAGCTGACGTATTACTACGAATTCTAATACAAAACCTTCAATTTTTTCCATTTCTGACAATAATTTCATTTTAAATAACTTACTTTTTCAAGAACTATCATAACATTATGACTAATAAATTATTTAATAAATAATTTTTACAATTTTCATAAATACTAGATTTATAGAAGAATTTTAGTTAAAAATACTAAAAAAAAAATTGAATTTTGGAAAAGTTACAAATGATTCCAGAAATTCAATTATTTTCAAAAGTTATAAAAATTCTTCGCAGAAATTCAATTATTTTCATAAGTAATCAAATTTTCACAGGAATAAATTCAATTATTTATAAAATATAAAATTTCATAAAATTTTTCGAAAAATATTAATTATTTAAAAAGATTTTTATAAAATTCGTCGCAAGAATTCAATTATTTAAAAAAAAATTTAACAAAGTTCTTTTCAAGAATTCAATTATTTTTATAAATAATAAAATTCTTCGCACCGAAATTCAATTATTCTTATAAACTAGAATAAAATTCGTTGAAAGAATTCAATTATTTTCAAAGTAATAATATTCTTCGCAGAAATTCAATTATTTTCAAAAATTAAAAAAAAGAATTCTTGTCAAAATTTCAAGCATCTTTATAAATAATAAAATATTCTTCTCAGAAATTCAATTATTTTAGAAAAATTTTAATTATTTTTATAAATAATAAAACTCATGGCAGGATTTTAATTATTTTTTATACAATTCTAATCAAATTCGTTCAAAATATTCTTTAAAATTTTGTTAAAATTCGTCAAAATAATTCAATTATATTTAAAAAATTTGTTGATAAAATTCTTTTTGAGAATTCAATTTTAACAAACATTTAATTATTCAATAAATTATTTATTTTTTGAATTTAAATAATTGAATTCTTCTAAAATTTTCTAATCAAAATTGATTTAAAAATGAATTACCGAATATTTGATTTATTATTTATGAAAATAATTGAATTCTTGCAACGAATTTTATTACATTTTTTTTTTTAAATAATTGAACTTTTTTGAGAAATTTTACTACTTGTAAAAATAATTGAATTCTTGCGAAAGATTTATTTGTAATATTTTGTAATAGTATTCTTATAAGTTATTGAATTTTAAAAGGATTTCAAAATAAATTTATAAATAAATCTAATAGTACATTTTTTAAGTAGGTATCTAATAATTTTTAGAGTGAATATCAGAATATTATTTAGAGCCAGGGAAAAATGAAAATGTTGTCTGGGAATCAGGGAAAAATAAAATTTAAATTAGTAAAATTTTACTAATTGTTAGTACACTGAAAAAAAATTTATTTGAATCAAATAACTGATTACTTGATTGCAATCAATATTAAATATTTACTTGAATCAAATAATTAGTAGAAATTATTATTTTTTCGTAAAATTTACAAATTAAAAGCAAAAAATCAGTCACTAATTATTTATATTGGAATTAGTAAAAATTTTCAAATTAAAATTTGAATAAATAAATAAATAAATATGATATAAATATATTTCGAATATATAGTTGCAAATACGTAGATCGGGGTCGCAGGAATACTCCCATATACCAAAGGTCACCATGATAACCGCAAAACTAACTTGACAATTCCTGTGAAAATTTATTTTTAACCCTGAGATAAATAAACAAATGAAAATTACCCTCAAGGGAAACTGAACATAATATAACTGCAGAATATTATAATAATATGTATATCATGTAATATTTCATTATTTCGTTTTCAACTTCTATTTTCGAGATAAATTATTTCTTTTTCAAGTGGAATATTAAATTTATTAAATTTATTCATTTCACTCACCGAATTTTTATTTAACAAATTTTTATTCAGATTAATATGTGGAGTGTAAAAATGTAATTTTTCAATTCTACATAGAAAATGACATTAAAATAAATAAAATTCTGTTTTTGTTATAAAATAAATATCATTAACCGTATTTTGCATTAATTGAAATTAGTTTTTGTACTATAATCATAGTCAGAACATTTTTTTTTTTTATAATTAAATGATGATTTTATAATAATTAAATAAATCAAATACTGAAATATCATTAGTTCAAAATTCATTTTTTAATGTGTAAATTAATATTTTGTACTGAAATAATTCAAACATTAAAGAAAGGAAGAAAAAAAAATTAGTTCATACGTTAAAAAGTTTGGAAATATTTAATATTATTTATTAATAATTATACAAGTGGAAAAAAACATTTTTATTAATAATTATTAGTATAGATAATATATAAATATTAAATATTAAAATAGTATTCATTTAAAATGGAATTATGTTAAATATTGATACAATTGTATTTTGTGTACACAATTGAAACCGCAACTTGTTGTTTTTCTCCTCTACTTTAAATTATCAACCTTCGATTTAATTTCAGCTATTTTTATTATATAAATCTCTATAATATTATCATAAAAACACATATTCAGAAAATTCTCAAACTTTCATATTATTAAAATTATACAGTGCATATCAGGTAGAAAGTTTGAAAAATACATGTTTTTCAATGAAATTGATTTTTTTTTAATATCAAGAAATAATATAAAAAAAAGTTTCTAATTTATTGAAAAATTTGAAAAATGTGAAGTTAGATATTCCAGGTGATTTATGACCCATTTCATTCTGTCTACAAATGACGAATAGGGAATGTCGTTTATTTTACAACCTGATCGTCCAAAGTGAGACTCTTAAAGTCCAAACGACAGAGTTTATTCTCGTTATATGTATATATGTATAAATAGAAGATGACTCGAATTTTATCAAGTTTTCTCTTGTTATTTTGCAGGTCGAGGCTGGTGATGTTATTCTCAGGGTGAATGAAGTTGATGTCAACCGATTTAGCACCAAGGAAGGTAAGAAATAACAATTTTTTCTTCCTCTTTTATTTTTCACAAAAAACAGTTTGGGCAAAATATTTAATTTCAGTATTTAAATATATACATAGGAAGCATTTTTCTGAACGAAACTGTATATTTTATTTCTTCTTTAAATTAAAATTTTAATTTAATAATTTTGCGTCAGGTGTCAAGGAACTTAATTCAAAAATATTTTTTATTAATCAATTTAAATTGCAGGGTTTGAACTAGGTCCGTAAATTTGCTTCAAGTCCGTAAAAATCAGTTTTCTTAAAAAAACGTCCGTAAAGTTCGTAATTTGATTGAAAAAGGACAAATTATTGAAGAAATTCAATAATTTTCCAAAGAAATAAAATTCTTCGCAGAAATTCAATGATGTTCAAAACTTAGAAAAAAATTCTTGTCAAATCTCAATAATCTTTGGAAATAAAAAAATTATTCTCCGAAATTCAATTATTTTCAAAACTTTTAATAAAATTCTTGGCAAAATTTCAATTATTTCCAAAAATTTTCCTCAATTAGATGATTTTCAATATCTACTATTTTAATAAAATTTAACAAAAGAATTCAATTATTTACAAATTTCTTATAAATTTCTTCGCAATAATTCAACTATTTTCATAAATAATAAAATTTTTATACGAAATCAATTATTTTCGTAAATAATAAAATTCAATTATTATCATAAATAATAAAACTCATTGCAGAATTTCAATTATTTTTAATAAAATTTTAATCAAATTCCTCGAAAAATGTAATTATTCTTAAAATTTATTATTAAAATTCGTCCAAAAAATGTATAGTTTTTAAAAAATTTGTTGATAAAATTCTTTATGAAATTTGAATTTTAAGAAACATTCAATTCTTCAATAAATTATTTATTTTTATATTTAAATAATTTAATTCTAGTAGAATTTTCAAATAAAAATTGATTTAAAAATTATTTTTAGTTAAAATTTTACATAATAATATGAATATTATGGGCATTTTCGTCAAATTCTTTAGAAATAATAGAATTTTGAAAAGGTTTTTTTTTAAAAATTGGCAAAATTTTAATTATCTTCCAAAATTTTCTTCAGTTCAATGATTTTCAATATGTACTATTTTAATAAAATTTTCCAAAATTATTAAATTATTTACAAATAAATTTTATAAAAATAAATTAATTTATTTTCATAAATAATAAAATTATTTTTAGGAACTTTATTTTTTTGCAAAATAATATTTCTTTATTTTTAATTAAGGAAGATTTCGACTATATCAGCAATTAGTGACATCTATTAGACGTCAATTGAACTCTTTGGTTTAGAGTCAGGTGTTATTCTTAAGATAATTATTCCGATATGGTTGTCGGTAAATAATTATATTTTTGAATTTAATTTTTGATCTGAAAAAATAAGCTGCGTGAACGACTGCACTGTGCATCTGTGAGGACTCGAACCCCAGTTAATAGCTGCCTTTCGCGGGACTAACGCCTACCAATGCACCATGCCAACACAGCCTGGACGTTCACGTTTCCTATAATCTCAGATCAAGCCCATACACTAGTCGAAGAGCTGTATAGTTAATGTAGGAAATTATTTGCTGATTGAGAATTATTGATAATTTTTTTAATTATCTTAAGAATAACACCTGACTCTAAACCAAAGAGTTCAATTGACGTCTAATAGATGTCACTAATTGCTGATATAGTCGAAATCTTCCTTAATTAAAAATTCTCAATCAGCAAATAATTTCCTACATTAACTATACAGCTCTTCGACTAGTGTATGGGCTTGATCTGAGATTATAAGAAACGTGAACGTCCAGGCTGTGTTGGCATGGTGCATTGGTAGGCGTTAGTCCCGCGAAAGGCAGCTATTAACTGGGGTTCGAGTCCTCACAGATGCACAGTGCAGTCGTTCACGCAGCTTATTTTTTCAGATCAAAAATTAAATTCAAAAATATAATTATTTACCGACAACCATATCGGAATAATTATCTTAAGAATAACACCTGACTCTAAACCAAAGAGTTCAATTGACGTCTAATAGATGTCACTAATTGCTGATATAGTCGAAATCTTCCTTAATTAAAAATTCTCAATCAGCAAATAATTTCCTACATTAACTATACAGCTCTTCGACTAGTGTATGGGCTTGATCTGAGATTATAAGAAACGTGAACGTCCAGGCTGTGTTGGCATGGTGCATTGGTAGGCGTTAGTCCCGCGAAAGGCAGCTATTAACTGGGGTTCGAGTCCTCACAGATGCACAGTGCAGTCGTTCACGCAGCTTATTTTTTCAGATCAAAAATTAAATTCAAAAATATAATTATTTACCGACAACCATATCGGAATAATTATCTTAAGAATAACACCTGACTCTAAACCAAAGAGTTCAATTGACGTCTAATAGATGTCACTAATTGCTGATATAGTCGAAATCTTCCTTAATTAAAAATTCTCAATCAGCAAATAATTTCCTACATTAAATATTTCTTTATATTTATTTGTTTTATTATTAAAACTCATTGCAAAATTTAAAATATTTTTAATATACAATTTTAATCAAATTTCTCGAAAAATGTAATTATTCTTAAAATTTTTATAAAAATTCGTCAAAAGAATTCAATTAATTAAAAATTTGTTGATAAAATTCTTGATGAGATTTAAATTTTAAGAAACATTCAATTATTCAATAAATTTTTTATTTTTGTATTTAAATAATTGAATTTCAGTTAAAATTTTAGATAATAATTGAATATTAAAAGCAATGTAGCATAAATTTTTAGAAATAATACCTAATTGAATTTTGTAAAAATATAATTTCAAATTTTTATTTTCTAACATATTTTTAATTGAAATTTCGTAAAATTGAATATTGTAAACAAATGGATTTGAAAATTTTTAAAGAACTTTTTCGAAAATTAATAAAAATAATTAATTTAAAGAAGAATTTTAGTTAAAAATTCTTGAAAATAATAATTGAATTGAAATTATGAAAATAATGTTTATAAGAAGTACAATATTCTTATAATATAAAATAATTATTTTAACAATTTGCCATCTTTAATTAAATTATAAAACATGAAGTGAAGACTCGGAGTGATCGATATCTTCATGTTTTATAGTTGTGAAAAAATTTAAATTTATAATTTCAAGTAAAATTTTCTCTTATTTGACTCGAATTTATATTTTTGTCAGTAATAAAACTTTTTCATTTTTTATCCATAAAGTCCGTATTTTTAAATACTTTCACTGGTTCGAGCCCTGAAATTGAAATTTTTTAATTTTTATTGCAATTGGTAATTTTTTAAAATAGTTTGAATGAAAAATATTTTGTTTATTTGAATGTTGAAAAGTTGTGGATTATCATTATTCGTTGATTATTTACTAAATAAATATTTACTTAAATAATTTTTATTTGACTCAATAATTTTTGTATATTTTGTAATTTATGTAAATACTATTTAATCAATTAACTTAGTTATTGTTTTTATTAATTTATTTTATTATTATTTTTATTCATTTATTTTATTATTTTTTTTCTTTATTCTTATTTCTTTCTTTATTCTAATTTTTTTTCTGTATTCTAATTTTTTTAGTTAAATAATTTTTAACTTCCGAGATCCTTTATAAATTAAGGCCAATAAAACGACAACATTCGGACAATGAATAAAATTTTTAAAACATAATAAATATTTTATTCATTGTCCGAATGTTTTCGTTTTATTGTCAATAAAATTTCTTTTTATTTTATGATTTTTGCTTGTAATAAATAATTAATGAAAGAAAATATTTATTTAATAATAATAGTCAAGAATTATTTGAATCAAGTAATATATATATAAATATTTTTTTTTTCAGTGTCAGGATAATTATACTATGATAAGTTTATTATTGATTTAAAGTTTAAAGGCACTTTTCATGGTCTACAAATACACTGACATTGACTTTTTTTTCTGTAATTATTTAACCGCATATTTTGACACAACTGGGTGTGATAATGTGTCTCTCTTATATATATAGTATATTGAGTTGAGAATAGGTTACGAGAAGACAGGAAGCTGCAGGTGCTTTGTAAATGTTACGAGAGTTAACCCCGAGTGAAACGACTGTTGGGTTAAAGTGCAATGTAGGCAGTAGATCGATTCAGTAATTTACGGTTTACCAAAGGTCATTATAGCTGTTAGTTTTTATCCAAAGTTATTCTCCAGCAGACAATTTATAATAGACGTGGAAAAAAATTGCCGTTGATTGTGACCTATTTTTTCTTTTTTTAAATAAAATTTTCCCTTTCCTTACGGAAATAGTTTCTGACTGTTTAAAATTGAATAAAGACAATTTAATTGTTTAAAATGAAGATGTAATTTTGGTAAATATTTTATTTGACACAAAAATAGTTATTGTTTAAAATTAAATATTAAAATTAGATAAAGACAATTATAATAATTTTTAAATAGTTTTCGGAAACAAAAAAAAAGAAAAATAGAAAAATTAATTCTTCAAAAGAATTATTGATCAGAAAAATTTGTAAAAATTTATATTAAATTTGACTGGAGAAAAATATTTCAAGGCAAAAGAATAATAAGAAAAATGTATAAAGAAAAAATTTCTTCACTCTATAAACCAATTCAAACTTTCAAAGAAGAAGAATAAAATTCATCAAAGAAGTTATTAAAAAAAAGAGAAAAAAAATGAAGAGGGTGAAAAAAGTTTAATAAATTTCATAAATTTAATAAATAAAATTTATCTAATAAGACATTATTTCAAATCGAATGAATCTTCTTTTCAACTATAAAAGCTGACAAGTTTAAATTTATAGCAATGGAATCTCAAAGTTTCTCAAACTACAATTTCGAGAAACAACTATTTGACACTGAAAGAGAATAAAACTTGAATCAAATAGAAACTTTATCTGTAAATCTAAAAACTGAGTGTGACGGCAAGTTCAAAGTTTAAAGGAAGACGGAGAAAATTTTTTTATTTCGGATTAAGGTCATGTTATTCAGTGGTC